GCGGGCACCCCGTTCTGGGTGCCCGAGGCGGCGCTGGGAGCCTGGAGCAGCGGCTGAACCTCAAATAACAGAGCAGGGGGTGCCCTCTCTGCTCAGAGCTGGGGACACAGATAGGACTAGCCTGACACCCCAACCCCAGCCCAAGCCCGGGTACTTGGACAGGAAGCGGGGAAGGAGCCCCGGGTGCCGAACCCCTCCCGGTGCACCCACCACAGGAACTGGATGGCGGCCTAGCTGGTCAGCAGCTCTCACTGAGCGCTTCCTGCGTGCTGCGGGCGCCCGGGCCCTGGGGCCGGGGGCGGTCCATCCCCTCTGGCTTGTCCGCCCGCCTGTCTACACTTGGGCTGGGAGAAGTGAGGAGGGTGAATCCAACCCAGACTCCTGGTGGGGTCTGAAGGGGAGGTCTTGGGGTTGGGGGAGGGAGCGGTGAGATGCCGGGGACTGGGAAGAGGGCCTGGGGAGGCGGCCACAGCCAGGAGCAGGGGAAGGGATCACGGGGTGACAGTGGCCTCTTTTGGGGGCACAAGAAAGAGATGTAGTCATTCTCTGGGTAGAGTTAATCCACAGGGAAGCCCAGGACTCTGTGGGAGTGAGACTAGGATGAGGAAGGGGAGCTAGTCATTGGTGCTGGGAAGCGGGGGCACCCCAGGGTCAGCTGGACGGTCTGCCCTGGGTGGGAGTGGGGGTAGTTAAGACCGTCTGGGAAAGATCTGAGGAAGGGTGGGGGTGGAGTTGACAAAGAGGTGCCCAGGTCCAGAGGTATGGGCCCAAGTAGACAGATGGGAAGTGGAGGGGATGTGGGTCCTTTGATGTGAGTGGAAGGGTCTTGAGGGCCGCAGTGGGGAAATAAGGCTGAGGTGCCGGGAAAATAAATGAGGAGGCCATTGTCCCCGCCCACACTTCCGTGCCCACCTTCCGGGGTGAACGATTGCTTCCACACTTACCCCTTCACTGAGTGACACTGCTGCTGGTCCAACCAGCTGCATAGGGAGCCCCTTTCCTTCCCTCTCCCTCTGCCCGCCCCCCCAATAGTCTTGGTCCATAGCTGGGTGTGAAAGCCCAGGTCCTGCCCATGTGGCCCCAGTCTCTAGGTGATCAGATGGCCCTGTGGAACTCTGGTCCAGGGAGGCTGAGTGCCATCCCCTTTCCCAACACAAACAGGGCTCTGGGGGAGATTGGTCTCCCCTCCCCCCCTCCCCCTGTCCCCCTTCTACTCCAACCCTGCTCCTCAGCCCTCAGCCCCCAGGTCTCTCTCATCACAGAGGAGCTGAACCCATAAGCCTCCCCATACCCCACCACGTTCCCTCCCAGCTCCTGCCAGGGGCTGCCGCATTCCCTGCCTCAAGCCCCTTCCCAGCCTGGGAGCTGGGTGCCTACTCCCTCACATCCTCTCCCTCCTCCCGCCTGCCTTCTCCCTGGGTGCTGAGCTGTGGAGCAGAATGATTTCCTGTAATTGGCCAGCAATCCGGCTGCCCGACTTGTTCTATCGACATGCTGGTTAGCTGGAAATTGTATTGGAATCTGAGCGACAGGGAGGGGAGGGGAGGGAAGGGGAGGGGGGAAAATAGAGGAGACTCTTTGGGCCCCAGCTCAGAGCAGCCTCAGCTCTGGGGGTGGGATAGAGGCGCCACCAGCCACATCTGCCTTTTATGGGAAGGAGCAGGAATGCAACCCACAGGGCTTCCCCACCCCCTTCCCTTTGCTCCTTCTCTCTGGCCGCCTCTGGGGGTCTCCCCTGCCCACCCCTATGTGCCCCTGTGGCATCAGGACATCACTGCCTCCCCATTCCCTCTCCTGCTCCTATCGCCAGCTCCTCCTAGCCTAGAGGTCTTAGCAAGAACCAGGGGTGCCCAGCAGGGGTGGCTATCCCTCTCATCCAATTTCTAGCCACGGAGGCTCACCATGGAGTGCCCGACCGTCCCCTGCCCTCCCCAAGCAGAGAGAGGCTAACCATCAGGACTGACAACAGCTCCTGGACAAAGCGCCGAGGCATAGCTGATGGGGGCGATGCAGGCAGTGAGAGGAGCACTGCTTGGGCAGCCCAGGAATTTGGCCTTTGTGCCTGCTGGGTCTTGTACTGAGTGGCTCACCCTCTGAGCCTCTGGGCAATTCCAGCCTGGCCTCCTTCACAGCGGCGGGAGGTTTCCAGGAGATAACCACAGGAGCATGCTTTGTAAACTGTACAGCTTTGCCAGTTACCCGAGGGCCAGCCCGCTGGTGGGGTTGGGCCTGTCTGTCCCCTTCGTTCCCCAGGAGGCGGGCGCTGTGCTGCCCTCGCTGGTGTCTTCCTTGCTCCGGTCAGGGTGGTAGCGGGGGACGGAGCGCAGTGTCCAAGCCCAGCTGAAGGGTGGGAGCCCGGGGGCTCTTGCCCTCCGAAGGGTGGGTAGGGCAGGATGGGGACACAGCACAGCTTCTTTTTATTTTTAATACATATTTTTATTGATTTCAGAGAGGAAGGGACAGGGAGAGTTAGAAACATCAATGGTGAGAAAGAATCATCGATGGGCTGCCTCCTGCAGGCCCCACACTGGGGATCGAACCTGCAATCTGGCCGGGTACTGAACCCTGATCTTGTGGTTCATAGGTCGACAGTCAACCACTGAAGCACCCCAGCCGGGCCCAACACAGCTTCTTAATTAGCGCCCAGGACACAGCGGCAGTGCCTCTGTCCCCCTCCCCTCCCTCCAGCCCCTGCAGCAGCTTGGTGCTCGGTGGAGGCAGCCCTGCAAGAATGCCACCGGAGAAAGTTAGTAACTTCTCCGCCAGTGCCCACCGCAGAGGTCTGACCCCAACCCGGGCGGGTGCTGCCACCTGCTGGCCAGAGGGGATGCCGCCCGCCGGGGTGTAGGACTGGGGCTCCAGGTGGCCTGGCTCTGGCTGTTTCCAGGCTGTTCCCAATCTGTCCCAGGGCCTTTGGAGCCCCATCCATGGCCTAACCATGTCGTCAAGCCCCTCGGGAAAGTAGGCCTTTTTCTAAGGCTATGCTGGGCGTGAGGAAGTGGTGAGGAGGGAGGTGTGAGGACAGGAAGTGGGGTTGTGGTGGGACCAGGGCACTGGGAGGACCTTCCAGGTTGGCCATCCTCTGACATCCTGCCTACCTGATACAAGACACAAGGCCAGGAGGCCACATAAAGAGGAGACAATCCCAGAACTGCTCCCCCTGGAGGAGGCTCAGGGGTACAGTAGGCAGGATCCTGAAGCGTGGCTGCAACCGGGATCGGATCCCTCCACTTCTCTGGGCCTGAGATCGGAATGATCAATGTTATGTCGCCTCTAGAGTGTTGCACATCTAGCAAAGTCCACCACGTGACAGCCATTCATGGAGAGTCCTCTTCTCAATGGCTGGGGTAACAGGACACTTTGGTACCTCAACGCGGGGTCCATACCTTGCCTCCCTTTTACCCCTCCTGCCAGGTCCCACTGAACCCAGGAAGCAGCTGCTTTCTGCCTTTCTCAGCCTGCCCCGGCCCCACCCCGAAGCTCAGCACCTCCTGGCCCAGGCTCTGCCTCTGGGGGTTAGCGGTGAGTTAATAAGCTGGTCTCCGAGGTCGGAGCAGCTCTGGGACATGGAGCACTAAATATGGCCACCAGAGCGTTCACATTTGTCAGCTCATTTCTGGCCTTAATAGGCTGCTGGCCGCACGCAGGATCACATCAGCAGGTCTGCTGGCACTGGCCAGGGAAAGCTGATGTCTACGCCGGTCTAATTGGCTTGGGGAAGGAAGATGGAGTAAGGGGGTGTGATGCTGCCCCAGCACCTCCACCTGCCTCTCCCAGGGGCACGCGGGGGCCGAGCTGGAACCCTCCTGGGGCCCCAGGAGAAGGCAGGGGGGCTACGGTACCTTCGGGGGCCCAGGCTTCCGTGTGGGAGGAGGCCAAGTGGTATCAGCCCAGTCTGGGCACCTTCACGGGTCCGTGGTGCTAGGGGAGCAATGGCAGCTCAGGGCATTTCAGATCAACACGCTTTATTCAGCACCAACAGCAAGGCAGGCTCTGCACCAGGAACAGAGATGAATCAGACGATCCCTGCCCTCAAGGGCGTACAGTCTCGTAGAGAGACCAACCAGCTTTGGGCTGATGACTACATTATGATAAAACATGATTCAGATAAAACATGATGGTGGTATCAGGGAGCACCTAACCCAGGCTGGGGCTTCAGACAGCCTGGGCTGGGAGCCAGTTACAGGGAACAAACCACACACACAATTCCAGGCGGGGGAGTAGCACAGCGAAGGCACAGAGGTCAGAAACAGCCTGGCGCGGGTAGACTCCCAAGAGCTCAGGGCTAGGAGTCCAGGGACTGGGAGGTACGGGGGGAGGGGGGGAGCAGGGGGAGGGGAGTGCTGGACAAGTGCCCACGTGGGAGAGTGGGTCATCCCATAAAGGCCTGGCCTCTGCCAACTACCGCATCACCCACAGGGAATCCTCACAGCGTCCTGTCCAAGGCACCAACCCAAGGGAGAGTCCAGTCTGAAGATGGTAGTCCTTGGTCCAAAATGATCTGCCGTGGTCCCTGAAGGAGGTTTTGGCCGCAATGGAGCGTGTGCTCAGTTCCTTGGGCCTGTCCAAGCCCAGGGAACCTCACTACTACTGGGCCCCAGGGATAGTGTTCCTCACCCAAGGAACTGATCATGTCTCCCACGGGTGCTTTCAGGTCCCAGGAAACAGGAGACAAGACCAGGTCACAATCCCAGATCTGCTCCTCCTGGAGGAGGCTCAGCGGTACAGTGGGCAGGATCAGATCCCTCCACTTCTCTGGGAAAGGGGGCACTACATATGGCCACCGGAGCATTCACATTTGCGGACACTGTATCAGGGGTCCTCAAACTTTTTAAAGTGGGGGCCAGATCACGGTCCCTCAGAGAGCTGGAGGGCCGGACTATATGAACTACTAATTCCTACTGTAACACCTCGGCTGCGCTCACTGCCCAAAAAACCTGGCGGGCCGGATCAGACTCCTCTGCGGGCTGCATGTGGCCCTCGGGCCGTAGTTTGAAGACCCCTGAAAGTGGTTCTACAGGGAGGAGCCCCAGGGAAGATAGGAGGGAATATCCACAGGCAGGGATGTTTCTTTGCCTCAGACAGAATGTACCCCAAAGAAGGGGCAGGGCTCCAGCATATATATAGAGAGAGAGACAGGGGGGGGGGGGGTGTGAGGGAGAGAGGGTGAGGGAGAGAGAGAGCGGGAGCGAGCGAGCGCCCGCGCGCTGAAGAGGCTGAAGGAAACCGGATGCATTCATTACCTAGCTTCCCAGGAGATCCAGGGGCTTCCTGCCTTGGAGGGCCCGGCTAGGGGGAAGGCAGGAGGCAGCGGGTGAGCAGGTAGAGGAGGCTAAGGACGCCAGCCAGACCTGCGAGGACCCCGAGCCTCAGGGGCAGGTACCCCAGGGAGCGCTCCAGCTCGGCGTGCAGGAGGATGACCTGGCGCTTGGTGACGCTCCACTCGCCTGAGTTGTCTAGAACGTGGCGGGCCATGCGGGCTTTGTCCCTCAGGGGCAGCTGAGCGTTGATCCGAGCCTCCGCGTCCTCTTGGTTCAGGCTGTTCCGTCGCATCAGGCGTGCCAGCTGCGTGTCCCGATCGCTACGGACAGGGCAAAAGGGCTGAGCAGGCTTTGTGGGCCCCAGGCTCCCTCCCCACCAGCAAGTTAAAGGGGCGGGCAGCCCCTTCTCTCAAATCAATTTAGGGTCCCGCAGCCAGGGAAGGGGGCCTGGCAGCTCACAGACTGCCCCCCACTCTCCCTGCTCTGTGAGGGCTCTGGTAGCATGGTGGGCTTGACACAGACAAGGGGAAAGGCTGCAAAAGCTGCTTTCTGCCATCTGGGGAGAAATCTGCTCCACCACCAGACCTGAGCTTTCCTAGTTATAAGATGGGGGGATTTGATCTTCTATATCAGTGACCTTTACTGGAAGGCCTGTGCCTGCAAGCTCAATGCTTTCTGCATTTCCCCTGGGGGTGGACCTGCCGCATCAAAAATAGCTTCCTGGGCCACCACAAAGACCCCCTCCCTGCTGCCCCACTCCCACTCCCGCATATTTAGAGCTAAAGGACCTGCCGGAAATGGTGGCTGCTGTGCTTGATGCCATCTGTGAAGGGGGATGGGCCAGCCCCAAGATGCTTCTAGGGGAGCCAAGACTTGCAAATCGGATGCCCCCAGTCCCTGGGGCAGGACAAAGCGCTGCACATTAAGCTGAACAGCTCCCAGTCTCCCCACTCCAAAGGCAATTCAAAGGATGCTTCTTTGGCTCACTGTGGTAATACCTGGGTCCTTCCTCAGGAAGCCCCCTGTCCTGCCTGTGACTACACAGGAGCTGCCCGCTGGGCTCTGGGGCAGGGTAATCTGACACCCCTCTAGCTCCGTGACCACCTCAGCCCCTCGAAGGGAACAAAGGAAAAGGGCGGCCGCAGCTGCTCTCTGCCATTGGGGCCTCTCCGCTCTGCCACTGGGCCTGGGATTTCCCGGTTATAAGATGGGGTGATAGGTCACTGTAATTCGTCCTCTCTTAGGTCTGGCCTACACCAGAAGGCCTCCTGGGGTGTGAAGACAGACCTAAGGACAGATATGACCTGAACACTAGCCAGTTCCGTTCCGATTCTGCTCAAAATGCAGAACGAAATGTTGCAGAAAGTCATTTCTGGCTGGCTGCTCAGGGAGACCTTTCAGAAGAGATGGCATTAGTAATGGCCTTGAAAAGTAAGTAGGACTGATTTCCTTTGTTATGGGGACAGCATGCTGTCAAGGTCATGGGGCCAATCCCTGCCTGGCTGAGGAGAACTATATCCAACCTTAGAACTATACGGAACAAGAATATCTCCGGTCTAGGGCTGGGAAATTGGGGTGAGAAAATGGAGATGGCTTAAGGGCCCTGAGTGCACATCCTTTGGAAGGTGTGGCCTAGACCAGAGGGCCTCTTAGAATGTGACCCAAAATAATCCCATGGGGACAGTTTAAGGATTAATGCTATTTGTAGTAACGAGATTTTTACAAACACTAATTCCACAGTCACGCTTTGCTCAATGCCCCATACTATTTCAAACGCATCAGGATTCGTGTGACAGGAAAAGGAATCCACGAAGGAAACCTCACTTGTAAATTCACATTGTAAAGTGTGGATCCCTTTTATGAAAAGCAAGTCACTACACTCGTTTATTCATACCTCTGGCATCTGTGAGCCAGACACCCACATGTGCCAAAATTGGGGCATGAACGGCACCCAGAGCTTTGGCAAAGGTTCCTTGGCTGGTAAGTGGGGCTGGGGGATCTCCAGGGGAACGGGAAGAATCTACAAAGCCCCGTTTACCTGCCAGGAGCCATAGCTATCTCTGACCAACAGACAACAGACCCACCTCAAAGGGAAGTGCATTAAGAGGAAGGCGGCAAGGGTAGGTGGCTGCAATCTGTTTGCTCACCTGCACTCGAGATCCTTTTTATCTGGATCCCTTGGTACAAAGTTCCAATTGTACTAAGACTGCAAGGCAAGAGAATTCCGAGTCTTCTGGAGTCTGCTTGGCCTCAGGTGACAGTCTCTCACAAACGGGACCAAGAACCCGGAGAGGTTGTGGGTTTACAGGGGGAGACAAGGGCCCCAGCGGGAGCTGTGAGGAAGCCTGTGTCTCCACACCAGGCTCAGCAGACTCAGACGAGGTTTTATTTTATTTTATTTTTCATTTTATTTTATTTTTTCAGACGAGGTTTTAAATGACAGTCTATGGTGGGGAGCTGGAGGGCAGAGGGGAGGGCGGGCAGGGTGATGCTCAGGGCTCTGAGTGCTCTAGGCCCCATCTCTAGTGTTCCAGAAACCTCCCAAGCAGTAGTCTCCCGAGAGCCGCTCAGTGCCCAAGTGCCGCAGAGCCAGGTGCCCACTCTGTGTCTGCTTTCCGTGTGGGCGGCATCCAGGAAGTTTCTGGGAGGCAGAGACACTCATCTGTTCTGTCACCCCCCTGGGACTATGACTCATTTTTTTCTGACAGTTTGATCCTCCTCTGTTTGTCAAACCTGGATTCGGGTTTGCTTCATATCCTGGGGGATTCTGAGAACAAAGCTCCTTCCTTAGCTGGCTCTGACAGTTCGCTCTCTGCAACTTTCCATCCAAAGGTGCTGCCAGTGGGAGACCTTGGACAAATTTGGTTATCTCTCCCCATGTACCACCCCCCCCCCCCCCCCGCACACACACACACACACACACACACACACACACACACGTTTTCTCTCCTATAGCTCCGAAGTATCAACCTGAATACTTCACGTTGAAAAGTAAATTGGGTGAAGTAGTAAATGTGGGAGCTGTTTGGAAAGTTGAGAAGTGTTGGAGGAGGGATCCAGTGAATAACAACATGGTAGCCCAAGGCAAGGCTTGGAATCTGGGCTGAAGTGCCTCCAGCAGCCAGCAGGGGGAGCCCTTCCCAAGCTCTAGAGAAGCCTAGGGGCCCATCCCTTCCTACACCTACCCCGGGGCATTCCTGGGTTAGTTTCTGTGAGCTCTGGGCAATGCTGCCCTTACCCCCTGTGCTCCCGGGCTGCCCGGTGGGGAAAGGGCACAGTGATGTGGGCCATTTCTCAGGTGCACATCTTACTCAGGGATCCTCCTTTCTAGCCTCAGTTAGGCCAGGCAATGCCACACACTCACCAGTACACCACCACCGTGTGCTTCATGTACTTGAGCAGTTTCTTGGTCTCAAACAACAGAGGGATATCCAGAATCACGTAGCGGTATCCTGGAGAAAAGATGGGAAAGCCACAAGGTCAAGTCTGCAAGCACACACTGAGGACTCGCTATGTGTTAGGTGTGGGAACGGAGTTCGCCACTGGCTCCTACCGCTGAAAGCTCCCCAAAGCGGGGGAGGCCTTCCCAGGACAGGCATAACCCGACAGCCAGCCAGTTCCATTCAGAACAGAATGCTGCACAGAGTTGTTTTTGACCGGATGAGCAGGGAATGGCATTGTTACTGGAAGGAATGGCATTGGTACTGGCCTTGCAAGGCATGTAGGACTTCCGATACCTGAGAATGAATGGGTGGAAGAGAGGGTTCCAGGAATGGGGAACAGCAAATCACAAGGAAAGCAATTGCTCTGGCTGAGGTGGAGGCCTGGAGCAGTGGGAGGCAAAACTGACGAGGTGGTCAGGCAGACACAAACCATTGACTTCACCTTGAACTTGAACCCAAAGAGTTATTTCTGAGGAGGGGAATGACACAGCCAAAACTGTAGGAGACTGGGGAGAGTTTCCAGGAGTGACTGGGCCCTTTCTGCCCTGCTTCACCTACCTTTGTTAAAAAAAAAAAATTTCCCCATCAGCCAGGTCCAAGCCTGGCTCCCTGCTGGAGTCCCATAGGACTATCTCTACCAATTCTCCATGAGAGACTCACGTGCGGGTGGCGGCAGCAGCCCCAACCGGAAGGAGGCTGCTTCTTAGGGTGTCAGAGGCAGACCTGCAGCCTGGGAATGCAAGGATGGGGCTGGAGGTGCCACGGTGGTTATGGCTAAGACTAAACTAACTCCAGTGGCACAAAAGCACTGGCTGGCCCTCCTACTACAAGCCAAGACCGGGCAGTGGTGGCACCCTCAACCACTGGGAGCGGGCACACCCCTGGGCTGCCCACCCAGTAATACTGTGGGCTCCACACTCTTAGTTCTCTCTCTGCCAGTGACCCCGGTACAGGTGCAATAAAGCTGGCGGGGGTCCAGGAGCCGTAAGAGGAAGGAACAGGCACTGCTCTGCCTGGAGACCCCTGCCCGGCTTGGCTGGTGTCCCACTGCAAACACTCCCACCGACGGAACCAGACACACATCACGCACCAATTCCACGGGAGCCAAGGGTGACGCAGGGAACAGTGACAACACAAGCTGCTGAGTTTCTGCTCCCTGGGATCTATTGCTCAGGAACCTTCTAGTCAAGGAGGGGTTAAAAGAATGGGCTCTGATAACACGCCTGGGTTTGAAGCGCCCACTCTCTTACCATGTCACCTCGGGCCCCTTAATAAACCTCATTGTTAAAACGAATGAAAAGACTAGCTACTTCACAAGAAGATGAGAAGGATTGAATGAAGGAAATCATGTAGACCACACCACACCCCCTCATCCAGATCCCCATTAAGTGCCTCATAAATGATGGTTATTGTTACTGCTCTTCTCTGAAGAGGGGAGGCCTGCAGGATTGGCTCCCCCGCTGCCCTTCTCCTCCCCCACCCCCCACCCCCATCCCCCAAAACTCAGAACAAGAGCCAGGGCCAGATTCTCTCTGGGCCTCTTATCTCTCTTTCCTGCTCCGCTCCTGTCCCGTCCTCTCCCCTCACTGCCCTTTCTCCTCTGCCCTCTCGGGAGCGCATGGCCAGCTCTTTGGTTCACGGGCAAAAGGGCTTTTCAGCTGTCACAGCCCTCCTGCTTGATAAGCTCTGCAAACTATCCTGACTCTATTAAGACATCCGCCTGCCTACACAGAGACCTCCCCAACAGCTGGTGATCTTATCTGACGTTTGATTATACCAGCTCTGACAGTTGTATTTGTTACAGCCATCAGGGAGAAGCGGGGACTGCGGAAGCCACAGCTGTCGTCCCCATTTTTCACCTTATCGAGCTGAAAAGAGCTTTCTGGCTTTTATTTAAGTGGCGGTGGTTGGCGAGAGGGGAGGCTGGGTGGATGACACTGCGAGAGGACTCTGGAGCAGGTGACATTATCCGACGCTTAATTTCATAAGCGGAAAGCCGCTGCTCTCCCCACAGCCCCGCAGATGTACTTGCAACCGGCCTGGGAGTGAACGCGAAAGGGCACAAATGAAAGGCAGAAGGCTTCGTGCCTGGGTGGGGGCAAGAGGGGATCCTGGCACAGACACAAGAGGCAGAACAAAAAAGGAATCTAGAGACTCGCCTTGAGGAAGGAGGGAGGGAGGGAGGGAGGGAGGGAGGGAGGGAGGGAGGGAGGGAGAAAGCGAGGGAGGGAGGAAGGCAGGAAGGGAAGAAGAGAGGCAGGCGTGCGGCAAGGTACTGAGATGCAGAGCAAAAGCCGGTCCAGCAGGGAGGATGCACCAAGGATGTCTGCGAACTCATCCCTTTCCTCTGGAGAAAGGTGTGGCCAGACGGGGGTGGGACACCCCACTCTGTACCTGAGAACCTGATGCCTGAGAAAGGAAGGGATTCGGCCAGGATCACAGAGCAAAAGCTAGAAGGAAACCTGGAAGCCTGGCTCATACCCTCCAGGAAGGAAAGTCTCGGCATCATGACTGACAGCGGGGAGACACACAGCCAGGCCCTCAGCGCTGAGACGCAGACTGGAGGCCACATACGCCAAAGGCTGCAGGAGCCCTGGGCTAGCCTCTCGCCCGATCCCAAGCCACGGCCCTCTGCTCACCCACTTCTGGTGACCGACTCCATCGTGGACAGAAAGTGTTAGGTCACCCTGCCCAACACCGTCCTGAAGAACAGGACCGGAACTGTGGCCTCTGGTTGGGGAAAGGTTAGCAACAGCTGCGCAAGGTTCCTGCCAGCTGACCACAGACCTCTGCTTCTCAAACACTCTCCTCTCCTTTTGGTCCAGCAAGGCACCTGGCCTCCGCTGCCCATGCCAGGCTCCATGAGCCCCAGCCCCAAAGGCTCATCCTCCACTCAGAACCCCTCCTCCACCTGCCCTGGCCCTCCTGAGTCCTCCCCCATTTCCTGTCTGCTAACTCACTTTCCCAGGAGGTGTGACCAGCCCCAAACCCAACTCTGACTGTGGCTTCTATTTGTGGGGTGATGGACAGTCACTGACGTGGGCTCTTAGTCACCCTAATAGCCCTGCAAGGTTGGCATTCTTAGTCTCCTGATGCAGATGAGGAAAGAGGTGGAGTGGTTGGCTCATGGACAAAGCCAAACAGCTAGAAACTGTGAGAGCCAGGCCTTAAACTCAGGTCTTATGACCCCATTACTCATCAGCTGTTATTACTCCCGTCCCTGCTGGAAAAATCAACTTACTTCCTGGGGATCATGGCTCAAAAGGCTCTCTTCTCATTAAACTGTCAACCTCCTTGCCGAAACCGGTTTGGCTCAGTGGATAGAGCATCGGCCTGTAGACTGTAAGGTCCCGGGTTCGATTCTGGTCAAGGGCATGTACCTTGGTTGCCGGCACATCCCCAGTAGGGGGTGTGCAAGAGGCAGCTGATCGATGATTCTCTCTCATTGATGTTTCTAACTCTCTATCCCTCTCTCTTACTCTGTGTAAAATAAATAAATAATATATATATATATATATATATATATATATAGCAATAAAATATATATTTTTAAAAATAAATAAATAAATAAACTGTCAACCTCCTTAAGAGTTGAGGGACATGTGCTTCTTTCCTTTGGGACTGGTATGGGGCTCTGCATGAGAGTGATGCCAGTAGTGTGAACTCTACAGCTCGGACATCCAGCCTCCCCCACCGCCGACCTTTCTGCAGAGGAGAAGGGCCCTGGCCCTGGCAGGAGAGGGCTTTGCCCACACCCGTCCCAGGCCCTGGGTCTTACCCCGAAGGAAGTACTTGAAGGTCTCCTTCATCATTTCCTTTTGGATCTCAGGGTGAGTGATGGTGTTGAGCAGATGCCGTCGGTCGGGCTGGTTAAATATCAGGTCCCCCAGGACCTTGCGGTTGATGTCTCCATTCTCCAACAAGACCTCAGTGCCAAAAGCCTCCACAATGCGCCGGTGGGCGGGGCATCCCGGCTGGACCACTGTGGCAGGAGAGGAAGGCTGGGTCACTCTTTGGAGCCTTAGGCCAGCCAGAGGACCCTCAGTGACTGGAGACAAAATGATGGGGGAACCAGGGTTGCTCCTTTCAATAGAAGCAAAAGTGAAATGAGGGGAAGGAAGAGAGCAAAGTGCACAGAGTCCCTCGAGTTGGTCATGGGGTGCGGTGAAGGCGGGGAGACCTCTAACGAGATGGAGGAATAAAGAGAAAAGTGAGAGGACAAGCATGAGGCAGGAGCAGGACATCAGCCAGGGTCAAAAGGGTAGTCTTCCCCAACTCTGAGGCCGTGAAGGGCCTAAGAAAAGGAAGCACAGGGAGCTGCGATGGACAGTCCCACACCCTGACCCCTCACTCACCATGTCGGGCGATGACGTCGACATCAATCACCGCACAGCCCAGCTGCTGGAACACCTGGAGCACGGAGCTCTTGCCGGAGGCGATGCCCCCTGTCAGGCCCACCAGGAACATCTTCCCGGGAAGAAGGCGGGCAGTGAGGCTGGAGTCCCAGAAGTTGGACAATCCCTGGAGCAGGGGTAGGGCAAGCTCAGCCAATCAGGATGAGCCACCACAGGACTGCCAGAGGGACCTGCCTGTGGGACAAGGGCAGGTCTGATCAGCCGGGAGAGGAAGGCAAAGGCAGGGGAGGGAGACACAGCCTGGCAGGCCAGCCAAGCCCAGAACTTCGGGGGCTATGGGTCCATCCTGGAGCTGAAAACCCTTTCAGGAAAGGCCCCCAGGATTATTTAAAAAACACTCCTAAAGAAGGCAAACTAACACAGTCTAAATTTAGCCAAGTGCTGAGGAGGCAGAATAAGGTCGGGTGCTGTTAAGCAAAGTGTGCTTTCCGAGGGGGCAGTCCCTGGCGTAGGCACAGTTCCTGGAGGAAGGGGACACCTGTGAGCCCAAGGCACTTTCCCGTGCCCACAGAGCGACTCTCCCCCCCCCAGCCTCCACTTCGTTTTAAATTTATTTGAGGGAGAGAGAGGGCGAGAGAGAGGAAGAGAAGGAAGGAGAGAGGTAGGGGAGGTGGGAGGGGAGGAGAGAAAGAGAAACATCTATGGAGAAACACCGATTGGCTGCTACCTGCATGTACCCTGATGGGGGATCGAGCCTGCAACGAGGGCATGTGCCCTGACCGGGAATGGAACCAGCAACCTCTTGGTGCACAGGAAGACACTCAATCAACTGAGCCACACCAGCCAGGGCCCAGCCTGCACTTCCTAGTCTGGCACACCTAGGCTCTCAGAAAGAAAGGGCCGGCCGGCCTCACCCTAACACCAGCCGTAGGACTATCTGGGCGGCTATTCTAGACCGAGATGAGTAATCCTCCTCCTCAGCCAAGAAGCGGATCAGATGAAAACCTCAACGGCAAGCAGTGGTTCCGTGGCCACCAAGTCTGAGGTTTAGAGAGGCATGGGTCGTGCCAAAAAGGAGTGCGAGGAAGGGCTGGCAGGCTTGGGTGGGGATAACTCTGAGCTAGGTGCGACCTGCAGCTCTCAGACTGAGCAGCAGCAAGCAGCACGAATGTTAGAACACGGGCCTCTTCAAATCCGGTTCCTTGGTGATGAGGGGTGGAAAGTGGGGGTTAGGCAGATTGCAAGGGGAAAAAGTTTTCATAAAATTATGTCCCCATTCCTGCAACCTCAAGACCATCTAACAATAGAGTAGACATCGTCCTGATACCCACAAGTTGCAGGTTCGATCTCCAGTCAGGGCACATACAAGAATCAACCAATGAATACACGAATAAGGTGAACACAAGTTGATGTTTCTCTCTCCCTCTCCCTCTTTCTCTAAAAAAAAAAAAAAAAAAAAAAAAAAAAGTCATGTTGCTTTAGCTGAAGTACACAGGGTTACCATGTCTTGAGCTTTGTTGCCAGACTGAAATAAATGTAGTTGAAGGTCTGGTCTTCCCACCTTTCCTTCGGCGTCAAACCACATCTCCCAAACCCTAAAATCTGTCATGCCTTTTTGTTGTTGTTAAACAGCAGATTTACTGTCCTAATTACACTGTGCTTGGGCTTATGCCGAAAGGAGTTTGCTCCCTGAGGACACTCCAAATGGCAGGGGAGGCGGCTGCTCCGATGAGGGCCGAGGGGGCGGGTGGCTGGGAGCAGCTCGGGGGCCAACCTAAAGGTTTAAATCTGCCCAAGCTCCCCCCCCCCCCACCCACCCTGGAAGCCAGGGCAGAGAGAGGAAACTATCCACCCGCTTCATCATCCAAACGGAGAGCTCTGAGCTAGTAAGCCACTTCCAAAGCATTTCTCTCCATCTGAGACTGGAGTCATCTCCAGGGGGCCTCCCCCCAGCTCACAGAAAGGAGTGAAGGAGAGGTTCCGTTGTCAAAAATAAGTTCATCTGCTCCGCTGCAGCTGGACAGCCTTTTAAATCCCAACTTTGTCCCGCTGTCTCTAAATCAATGAGTCAGCCACTCTGCTGTTGAAGACCCATCTGGAACAATGGGATGGGACTTGAGAATAGGTTGTGTCTGAGCGAAAAGGCAAAGGCTAGTTCTCCACAGGGTCCTGACATCTCACAGGGGAAGCCAGCCGCCGGCTCGGGTCAGTGGGGCTTTGCCGGTTGGTTGAAAGGGCCCGGAAGGCCATGTGGCTGAGACTGCTCCTGCCCGTCCACAGAACCAGGACCCTGTCGAAATCGACTGAGTCTGAATCCTGGGGACGGCGGTGCCCCGGCCGTTCCGCTGCGTCACAGGGCTTGGGACAGACTCTAACCCTTCACCTACAGCAGCAGAGATGGAGGATCGGAGAGGGGAAGGGCCTGGCCCAGAGCCACAGCTGTTCGTGGAGGCTGGATAGAATCCAAGGCTCCTAACGCTGAGTCTAGACCCCTGCTTTTCTGTACTCCGGGAACAAAAATTAATTTACCTCTAGGACATAATAAGGATGGTGAATCTGTCTGCAGGCAAATCAATTCAGAGCCAAAGAAAAATGATTTCTCGATCATATTGGTGTTTCCCTTGGCAGAATAAGGGGATCTTATGGACAGCAAACAGGGCGCAGATGTGAATTCCAGTCTCAGCACAGCCCAGGCTCCCGGGGTAACCTAATGAATAGCCGCCCTTCTCCATGCCTTGGCCCAGCTGCGGAAACAGACCGACAGCTGCGTGGCCTCACCAGGAAGGCCAAGGGGATGGCGGAGCCAGGCCTGGCCCTCGGGCTTAAAGGGGCTGGAGGAACAACAGCTGTTCCTGCCCAGCAAACACCTCCGTACTCATCTGTTGCTAACCACTGACTGAGCTCCCCGGGCTTTGCACCCTGATGCCAGGGATTCTCAGGCACCAAAGGAAAATACAGGCCTTGCCCCTCAGGAAAACTGGAGGCAGCCAATCACGAAGGCAGCCTGCGGACAGGCAAGCAGGAGTCGCCATGTGGTACCCGCCCTGGGCCTGGATCTGTGTGTGTGTGTGCTGTGTGTGCGCAGACACACTCACAGGTTTGCTCACAAACCTGCCTGGGAGGGAGCTGCAACCAACAGGAGCCCACTGTCCCTCCCGCTCACCAAGAAGAGCATGAAGGCTTAGGTTCCAGCTGCCTCTAAGTCCCACCCAAACCTGCCCCTGCAGCTCCCCTCCAGGCTCCACGGAGAAGTGACCGCCTCTGTAACCTTTGGTGGCCCTCTTCCTGCTCTGGCTCAAGTCCACGCTCCAGAATCTGCTCATTTCTCCTTACTCCACGGAGGAACTCCTAAAGCTGGTTTCGATCCAAATCCCCTCGGAAACGTTAGGAAAGGTACAGACACCCAGACTCCACCCCAGCCCACTGAATCTGAATCTAGGGTGGGACTTAGCATCCAGCCAGCCTGGCACCAGAGCCACTGCCGACATGCACAGTTGCGGGCTGGGAGTGGGGAGGCCTGGGTCCCAGTCTCTGAACTCTGCCACGAAACTACCTGTATGCCTGCAGGAATCCTTCTCACCAGCCTGGCCCCGGGGCTGGGAGTTTGGGGTAAGCTGAGCCCCAAACACCTGCCCTTTGCTGAACCTTGGTTTCCACACCTGTCAGTGAGAGCCCCGGACTTCCATCGCTAACGCCAGCATCAGCTCCCGGGGGAGGTGTGAGCCCCTCTGGTGCCTTCTTTCTCTGAGAGCGCTCTGCTCAGAGCGGCCAGTAAATGCTCCCCGAATAACCAAAGGATGCCATGACGTTGGGCCTGGGAATCTTCTCTCTCAACCCCCCAAGCTCTTTGCCTCCAGCCTCCAGCTTAGTGTCTAATGTCTGTCTGTCACTCGCCAGGGGAGTGATATTGGTCAAGTTACTTAACCTTTCTTCGATTCGTCTGCAAAATCCAGCTAATGGCACCTACTCTCAGGTGCTGTGAAGAAGAAATGGGTGAACACATGGAAAGTGCCTAGAACAGTACCTGGCACACATTAAGCACACAACCCATGTTCTTTGTAAGTGATGAGAGAGTGTCGGATGAAATGTTTATAGAATGAATGACTGAATGGCCAAGGAAAGGGGAGGGGGAAACCTTGGGGTCACATTCTCCTGTCATCGCCAATGGGGAGGCTGAAACCATACTCCCAGCCTCCTTCTTTTTCCATCGCGATGTGCCGCTTGCTGCCAGTACATCCCTTCTGGGGGAGGGGAAATGGAAACAGACAAAACACCCAATGGGTTAAACAGAATAAGGAACTGATAACTGAATGCATCCTCTTCCTTTCCTCCCTTGGGAGAACTGCCGTGGGAAGTGGGTTCTGTGATTTGCATCTCCCCAAAAACAACCCAAACCTGCTGTGCTGGGGCAGGACCTGGCTCCCTCATTAGCTGGCAGCTTCGTTTCTTCCGCCTTGTGTGGCCTCTCAGGATCTCACACTGGGCATGACTGACCAGCTATGAATGGCTCTTCAAAGGGTACGTATCCATTTTGCTCCAATGATCAATATAATCATCCATGAATATGAGTCACTACCTGTCTAGGGACCCAATTATTTTCTCGTGGAAACAGTGGTTGCAAAAATATATTGTTTTCCAGTTAACTAGTAGGTGCTATTTTTATCTATGGTTTCCCCATTGCTAATCTTGTAAGATTGGTGAGGCGCTGCTGTGTAAACCTGAGTCCAAGTCCCCTTGCCTGCTAGGCCTATTTCGCTACCGCCTTCTCCTCCAGGCTGCCCGTTATTTGAAGGGGGCCCCGAGACAAGGGGTTGGCAGTCAGTATGCCTCTTCCTTCTCCCCTTGCCAACATCAAGGGAACGGCAGAACAGGTTTCTCTTCTCTTTTTTTTCTTCTTTTTTTTTAATATTTTTATTGATTTCTTACAGAGAGGAAAAGAGAGGGATAGAGAGTTAGAAACATCGATGAGAGAGAAACATCAATCAGCTGCCTCTTGCACACACCCCTACTGAGGATGTGCCAGCAGTGAAGGTACATGCCCTTGACCAAAATCGAACTTGGGACCTTTCAGTCCGCAAGCCAACGCTCTATCCACTGAGCCAAACAGGTCTCGGCAGGTCTCTCTTCTTGAGCACTCTCTAAGCACAAACCATCACTCCAGAGAGTTTTTATGGGTGAGCAGGGAGGCTGTTTGGACTACTATGCTGGCAGTTAGGCAGAAACAGGATCAAAGGGACTGTCACCTCTGACATCTCAATTCTGTCCCTTAAACCAGCCATGGGGCTTCAGGCAATATGCCAGCATTGTGGAATTCTGCTAACTTGCTTATAAAAAAGGATTCATAATGACTGCTCACGGGGGTTTGTCAGGATTCAATGAGGTAACATGTCCAGTCACCTCATCTTCCGCACTCAGTGTGCGACATGTCACTGAAATCTACTCAATTTCCCTAAAGGGCACCTTCATCCTTTCAGTTGCTTAGGCCCCAAACCCGAGTGTCCTCCTGTCTCCTGGCTCACAGTCTCCATCCAGCCCATCAGTGCCCCCTGCTCCCCACTTTCACAACCAGGCCAAACACCCCCTTCCCCACTAACCCCATTCTCTGGCTCCCAGGCTACTGCAGTAGCCTTTGAGTGATTTCCACGTTATCACCTTTGTTCCCCAACGGTCTCTTCATAATACAGCAGCTAAGCTAGCGTGTCCCTTTATAAATGCCAGTCTGATGGTGTGACTGCTAGGCTCAAAATCCTCCAATGGCTCTCCTCTCACTTAGAGTGCAAGCCAAATCCTGATTCAGGTAGATGCTCAACACTGAGCCACACAGGCCGGATATGAACCAACTTTATTTCTTTTCTTATATATTTTTATCGATTTCAGAGGGGAAGGGAGAGGGAGAGAAACAGAAACATCAATGATGAATCATTGATCAGTTGCCTCCTGCAGGCCCCCTACTGGAAATCAAGCCCACAACCCAGGCATGTGCCCTTGACCAGAATCAAACCCGGGATCCTTCAGTCTGCAGGCTGACACTCTATCCCCTGAGCCAACCAGCGAGGGCTGAATCAACTTTTTCAATGCTTACAGAAATGGAATAAATAAGCTGAGCTCCCTCTAGATTAGGGGTGTCGAACTCAATCAGAGAAGGGGCCAAAATCTAAAATCCAGCCTAAATCGAGGGCCGAATGGTTTACTGAACAGTCATAAACTGTCATTGTGATGGAAACGCAGCGGAGTGCAGTGATGACAGCGAGGTGCGGGCCACATTGCAAGACCTGGCGGGACAGATTTGGCCCGCGGGCCTTGTGTTTGACACATGTGCTCTAGATGAATGCATGAACTAAAACAAGTACTTCCACTCAGCTTGTAAAAAGAAGCATTTGTTTAACAATTGTCAAAACTAGTAATGTTTTTATGTTTTTGACCAATTGTGTATTTTAAATTGTAAAAAGTCAATCTCAAGGAAAATGTTTAATATTATGACAAATTTTTCAAAAATGTTTTAATTTTTGTTGCAACAAACCAAAGGCTTTCAAGCATAAAATCTATTATACTAGAGAGAAAAAATTCTGTGGAGAAAATAAAATAGAAATATGATTTCAAGAATGAAAAAGGAATGATGCAAAACTTCAACTATTAAATAAAAACTGGTTCATGTATCTTTTTTCTCCAAAGGATGAGGGAAATCAAATCACTATGGTATTTAGATTCCATTGAAGATTTAAAATCCTGATGTTTTATTTTTTTAATGTCCATATTTATAATTAACTATAAAGTATATCCTTTGCAACTACTGGAATTTTCCGAGAAAAATCTCAGCTACCTAAAAATGTGCAAGTGTATTATGAATAGACTGTAGCCAAACAAAGCTAAGCTCACTGTTTGCCTGCCTTCAGCAATCAGCCCTCATCTTTTCTCCTTAAGGCTCAGGCAAGGAAGACTCTGAACCCTTTACGTTTTATCCAGGGCAGATTCTGACTGCTCCAGATAGAAGCAGACTTGGTGGGAATTCAGGGCCCTGCTAGGAAAAAACCACCCAACTGGCCTGTCCACTTTCTATTCATCAGCCAGCTCTTTCTCTCTTTAGCATTTCCCTGTTTTCCAGGCCTTTGTTTTCAACTCCGCCAAATCAATCTCATTTATCCGGGTAAAAAATCACCAGCCCTTATTGAAAAGCTTCCATTTCCTCAACTTTAGGACTTAGTCAAAGTTGATTTGGGTGAAAATTTTCCCCTACGTAAGGGAGAGAGAAAAATCTTTGAAAACTTCATAAGCAAACTCAATGTCAAAGGTGCCAACGCCTCTCTCTGGGGAGCTGGGAAAGGAAGATAAGCGCCACGGGGGTTTTCACTAAAACTTGACAACACCTCTACCCTCCTGGGGAAGAGAGCGGTTTGAAAAGCGAAGATCACTAAAAAAAAAAAAAAAAAAAAAAAAAAAAAAAAAAAAAAAAAAAAAAAAAAAAAGTTACTCAGCACAAAACTTTCCATCCTCATGTGTTCAGATGAGCAAGTTGAGAGTCGGAATAGTACCCGAAGCCACAGAATTGGACACGGCAGAGGCTGGATTCAACAATGAATTTTAGGTCTGACCACAAAGTTCTAAAGCGAAGTGGCTTTGTACTGAGCCTGGAAAAACAACACCTTGCTCAGCAGGGTTGCTGTCAAGGCCGTGAGCCATAGATGTCAACGCGTTTGATCCGGTGGCTGCTACATAGTAGGTGCTCAATAAATGGCAACCAAGGCTTGGGGGGGAAAAGGCGCGAACTCTACGCCACGCAGCACGACTGGGCCCTACTGTGCGCCCAGAGCCCGGCCCAGCTCGATACCCGGGCCGAAGGGCCCGGAAACTGGGGAAAACGAGGCCAGCCCGCCCCATCCCCGGGGGCCCGGCCACCAGCACCCCCGCCCCCCGCCCACGCGGCGCGCTACATACCCGGGGCCTCGGTTCCGCCGGGGCCGCCGCCGCTCGCCCAATCTCCGAGGCGCTTACTGGGGGTGGGCGGGGCTTCGTCAGCGCGCGCTCGCGAGCCGGAAGTCCAGTTAGCGGAAGGGGCGGGACCGAGGGTGGGCGTGTTTGGGGGAATTGGGCAGGGCGAGAGAGAGGCCCTACCTCTGGCCAAGGTGCGTGGGTGCGACTGGAGAGTATTTCCTCCTGGGGAGCCGGGTCCCACGCGGGAGGATGCGGGGGGCGGAGACTCAAAAGCAGGCCTGGCCGCCTTTGGCTGTGCAGCCCCTGGCAAAGGTAATGATCGTTATGGTGACTGAGTACCCTTTACCTGATAGTCTTAAGAGCACACTCATTGAATCTTCAGCACTTGAGGTGGGTGCTGTCACCGTCCTCATTTTACACGAGAGGAAACTGACGTTTAGAGATAGGTTCCTCCCTCTCTTGCAAAGAGCCAGTTGGTGTCGAGTTCAAATTCTGTGCACAGAAGCCTAGCAAGCCGTTTAGCCTCTCCTTCTGGCTCTTCTGCGGAAGTGCAAGTAGTCGCTACTGGGTTGCTTGTTGAAAGAATTGGAAAACCCCTCTTTATCCGCGGTTTTGTGTCCACGGTTTCAGTTACTTATGCTCTAGCTCGGTCTGACAATATTAAAGGGAAGGTTCCAGAATGAATTCATAAGTTTTAAATTGCGTGCCTTTGAGTAGTGTGATGAGACCTCGCGTGTCCTGCT